GATGTTGAAGGTCGGGGGTATTTGGTTTACATCTGTCCGACCATGATGACCTTGCATGTGCGGCAGCGCTCTTAACTCTCTGTAACTGCCAAACGCAAGTTGGTAGAAAACGGAAGATAAATGGATCCATAAACACCCGGCTCTAAATCAAGTTCAACTTTCCCCGGAGCCTGACATAAATCTGCATTCACATTATAACTGCGGAAAAAATAAAGTAACCCATTTCTCAGGAGTTCACTCCACTCACTTGAGTTTTTGAGAAGGAGGTTGTAAAAAGTTATGGCTTTTCTGTCTGTGACTGAATTTTTTTTATACCATGCTGTAAATCTGGACATGTGTGCAGTGGTTAGGAATGAGGGTTTTTGCAGAATATATTACCTTGCTTCTTGGTTGTTGTTTTTTTTCCTGATGAGTCTCAACTCACTAGTCTTTTTATTTACCTTCACCAACACTGTTGATGGTAATGTGTATTTTGTGCCTGGAGTAGAAAAAAGGCTTAAAATGTTTTCTTTTGAGTTTGAATGTGCTGCTAGAAACTCATCTGTTTTGTTTTCTTTAGATGTGCCACACAGTGATTTAGCTTTTCTGCATCTCTGAATTCTGCCTGGTAAACACTGGACTGATGTTTAATGCTGCCATCACTATTGTACTTTAAATCTCAGTGTCTTTACAACTTGTGAGATTTGGGATTTTTCTTCTTTTGCCTTTTTGTTTGTGGTACCAGCTGTTTGCAAATGACCACGTCTCAACCCAAGGGAACGAAAAGAGATAAGCTATGTCATTGGAGCGAAAGCTAAAAAAAAAAAAAAGCCTTTTTAACTGGACGACGTGGCAGCTTCATTGACCCATAGCAAGACTCCAGTGCCTTTAATTTTGTCCCGGCCAGAGCAGATGGCCTGGGTGACTATTGGGTCTCTGGTGGGCTACAGATCGAAGTTATCAGGGCAGATGTTTGATTGCACAGGTGTTGCCACTGAAAAGACAGCAAAGCTGAGGACAAAGGGAGGGGAAAGCCCCCTCCTCAGACTAAACCGTTAATGTTAATTTACTGGATGTGACCCCACAGAGTGACACACACACCAAGTGGTTTACACAATCGGAACACAACGCTCTATGTATAGAGGTGGTAGATCAACAGGTGGAGGTACTGTAAGTAAAATTTTCTCTTATGGCTTTGTTTTCTCCTAATTGTGATTTCTTTTGTCAAATGATATTTTCTGAATGCTGTGACCTGTTTGAGATTTGTATTTTAGATGTTTCTTCAAGTGCCATTTGACAGTCCAGTGAGTCGTGGCCATCTGTAGCACGCTCTAATGCAAGCACAAGCATTTGGCAGTGGCATTTGGGGAAGGTTTTTCACCCTAGACAAAATATGTATATATCAAAAAGCTGAAAAAAGTTTATTTATTTGTGTCCCGATTATTTGATTTGTTCTGTTGGTGAACACTTATCAGATTTGTTGGCTCAAGTGCTTTCTGATTTGTTTTTGGATTTTTTTTTTTTCCTCTCTCTTTTTGGGAACATTAAGTAGAGTATCCAATATAATATACAGACAAATTTTATGTGACTTTCTTTTTGTGTGCCGTTTTATTTTTTCCTTCGTATCTTCTGAAATTGGCAAGCAAACCAATGCGTGTTGGGTGATTTGTATTGTGTATTTTGCATAAAAATGAGGACAATTGGGGAACTTTTATATTTATAAAGAATATCATTTAGTGTGTCGTATTGATGAATATAGAAACTATGGATGACACATGTAGTTTGGTTTTTTCTGAATATTTCAGATCTCAGCTCAGGCTAGCTTCTTAGTGTTGTTTTCTTAAAATTTGTGACACGTCTTTGCAGTAATAAATGTTCTCTTGTTCAACATCCACTGTGTTCTCTTCAGTTTTTCAGAACAACTAAGTTTGCACAGTTGACTGAAATAATCTTAGTGCCTGAATTTTTATTTTAACTTTAAATTTTATTACATTTTAGAAATTTCATATATAAAAATACAAGTTTATTCCCTGACCAACATGTTGGTATTTCAAAGGCAATACATCAGAAAAGACACTCCAATTGACAAGCTAAGAAATACTTATAACTATGCATAATTATAAGGGAAAAGATCTTTGGCAAAATGGCTTGAATTTGGCAAAAGAAAAAAAGCCTACATTTGTCCTTTAAGGCAGAAGAACAATCATTTTGGCTTTTCCAATATTCAAAAAAATAACAGACACAGTCCACATAGGGATTTGGCATGAAAATTACACCAAATTCCATTCCTGATAAAACCCACCCCATGATTTTGGAATTTTGAACTTAAAACCTAGTGGGAACCTTACCACTGGGCTACTTTCACACACACACAAAAAGGGAATTTAAGAAACAAGCTTTAAACTACGTTTTTTAGAAAGAAAAAAAAACTAAACTAAAACAACAACTTGGAGTTAGTTTTGAAAATGCTAAATTAACCAAAATACTGAAACATTTGACAAAAGAGCTACTGCAAACTTCAAACCAAGACTACATGATATTATTATATTTTAACTTTAAGACATGAGGCTGAGTGAAATTTCAGACAATATATGTTAAAATAGTTACTAAGTTCAACAAACACCTTGTTTTCGCCATAGAAAAACATTTACCCTTGCTAGCCACGCTTAGCTTTAAATATAAATAGCTAATATTAGCCGCAGGTCTAAGGTAACGTTCGATATGTTTTTTTGTTTGTTTGTGTTTTGTTTTTTAAATTCAATTCACGTAAGTGTGTTAATAACTGTTGAATGTGTAAAGAGATCGTTTAACTTTGTGTGTGGCGAACTTACCTGGAATCAGGACACGGTCGCCATTAGCAGCTCCATAACCAAACTCAGCGGTGCGCCTAAATGACAATATCGTGTTAAACTACTAACAATGCCATAGTTTGTTCTGTTTAGATGATAAATGAACTGGTTTAAAGATAACGGTGTACTTACCGAAGCTTTCAAACGATCCCGCTTTTCCCCAATGCTCCACCTATTCCGGAAACGCCATGATGCAGGTGAAGTGGCTCAAATCTGTCACCGTGTGACAAGATAGAGCAATACACATAAATGTTGTCGAGTTCTTAACCCAACATTTTTAATATCGTAGGTAACGAGTGTAAAAAAAGAAGTAATAAAAGTTCGAATTAAACATAGGTTTACGAAACCACTTAAAAAATAACTCAAGATAATTAATTGTACGGGTACGTTAGCCTAGCATTAGCCTAAGTTTGGCCGACATTTGATTGAGTGTCCATTAGCATGATTAGAAATATCACACATTTGATTGAGTGTCCATTAGCATGAACGCTAGTAGCGAATAAAACATTTCCCCACAATTAACCGAAAAACCAAAATAGCGAAACGCATAACTAAATGTGTTTTAAAATAAATAAATAAAACAGTAAAAGGTACATAAAAAAAGTCAAAAAAATAGTCAGTTTAGTAAAAGACTTTAGCAGCTAAGTGATTGTTGAGAAATGCGATTTTTACTGCATGAACTATCACTGGTACATCAACTGACACAAAGTAACATTATCCCATTAAATTTTATTCAATCATATTCATATATATAAACACAAATATCATTCAAACTTTGATGTGTACTCAGACTGTATGACATGAAGGCTATAATAACGATGAACTTGCATTTCCTGAACATTATACAGCATTCCTTGTTCGTTTGGGTGTTCTTTTTTTATATATCATTTTATTTTTATATCTTTTTTTTTTATCTAACCCCGAGAGGTTCACAACTGTAAAGGTAGCAAAAAGTATAAAATACTGCAACTGCTGTAAACAGAGCTCTGCATACTAAAATATCTTTTAAACAGTGCTGAGGAAAAATAACTAAAATTATTTGGATGATAATGAAAACCTGGTTTAAAGATGCAACTCTTAACATTGAAATGCCTTTTTATTTACTTTGTGTATTTGGCATCAATATGGCTACACTTCCTCTCACAGTTTACCCTCAATTATTCTTTCAGCTCTATGTTAGTGTACCATGGAAGCAAGTTGAACCAGTGGAAGTGAGATAACTTCAGGTGATTAATCAAATTCTATATTTAAAATATCAATTTTTCACCAGAGAGTGATTTCAAAGTTTTTAGTTGTACATTTAGTTTTTGTTTTGTTTTTTGCCCCATCAAATTCATTTAATAAAAAACATTATTGTTGTAAATGCTCGATCTTAAACTTTTAAACCTGCTGCTGGTGAAAGACTGATACTCAAACAGCAGAATTTGGGTAAACACTCTGAACAGTCTAGTCAGTTCTAAAAGTAGTCTCAGACTTTCAGAACCAAATGTACAATTATTTATTTTCACTATACTAAAGATATTTCCATGTATACAATGAGTAACCAAACAAAAAAAGGACAAAATATTTAGGCAAATTAATAAAGTGCTAATGAAGATCTAATGGGCATCTAATTTAAAAAACAGAGCAAACAATGTTATATTGACGGAAACAATGGGCTTTTTGGAAAATATTTCATCATTTCAATTTTAAGAGTTTGTAAAACTTCAGTAGAAAACATCTGAGCCCTGATGACTGGAGCTAGGACGACAGTTCATGTTCACAAAGTGAAGCCGAGTTCAACTAAAACGGTCCAATGTGAACGTCAATGTTCTTTTAAATCGTTAAAAACTACCCGAAAGAGTGAGGGAGAGTAGAAACAACAAAGACATCATCATCATCATCATCATCATCAAGGACTGCAAGCTCTGAAAAGTATTTTAAGATTACGTTTTAGAATTTAAAAAAAAGGAGTAATGATAACATGACATAAATATTCTGATCTGCAAAGAGAGAAGAGAACTCCATGGTCATGAATCTGTATCCACTGTGAACACCACTGTACAAGGACCAGACTAGCAGTATTCACCACGTGGACTCACATTTACCATGGTTCATAACAACTCGCAACGGCATCCGATGTAGACTGACCTGAATAAGTGATGGTTTTGCAGCTTAATGAGAACCATTCATATCAACTTTGATCAAACTTTAAAGAACATGCAGTGGGGGAAGGGAGGGGAGGGAGGGGGAAAGGTCAGAATAACAGCCTTTCATATGCACATCTTCTTGGCTGCAAACCTTCCACTGTGCTGCAGCTCGTCCCACTCTGACTCACACGTTCCTCCAGATGCTGTGTGGAAGTGGCTGAACAACGCAGACCTCGAGCCTCCAGGTCAGCGTCCTGACATCTGCTCATAGAATTGGACTGGAAAGAAAGAGATTTAAAACAAAAAAAAAACAAAAAAAACAAGTATACTGCCAGACTTTATGTCCTTCTCATCCTCCTACCCCCTAACTGGACGTTCCTGTAGCTGCAGATACAGTCTCAATTTGTTGTTCTGTACAAGAACCGTCTCTGGATTTAGTCGAGCGGCTGCGGGTCAGCTATGGGCATGGTGTGCAGGACTTCGTCCAGCAGCTGTAGAGCTCGGTGTAAATGGATTTCGATCCAGCAGGGCGTTTCCTTGATGCTCTGTCGAGGGTAATCGGGACCCCAGCCTTTCACGAAGCTCATCCTCAGGATGCAGAGCCTGCGCAGGTCGTCCACCCCGATGCCTGCAGCTGCAGACAAACCTTCAGAGTGGAGGGAAAAAAACTGTTAGAACCATGTGGGACAAACCAAAGCTGACACACATTAGCCAAGTTTCTGTTGTTAAGGAAAAAGTTTGGAAAGTCGTCGCAACACATGGCTTCGAGGAAAAAAAGTCCTCCTCCTGGTTTTAGTCTGTTTGCACATCTTCCACTTACATCAGCATATTCATTTTAGAGACCAGTCTGAGGGTTGGCCTGACATGGAGGTCTGTGACTGAGTTCAAATGTAACGTTGAGACTGTTTGTGTGCAGCTCGCAACAACTCAAAATAGACTGTTTATGACAGAAGGTTAAGATGTTTTTTTTCTGCCTCTATAAAAGTGTTTGAGGGAAATGTTGGACCATCCCCAGGGTAATTATAGCAACGTAGTCAACAGTGTTTCCCCATCACTGATTTCAAGAACCTGCACGTTCTTGAAAATTTGTTCTGGAATTGTTTTTTTGTCACAAACTAAACTAAGACGAGACTAATGCAACAAACAAACAAATTTCTAAAAAAAAAAAAGTTCTAAGACAGATGTTATAATGTCAACAACATGCTGAGACGGCTCTTTCAGACGTCGCCAACATCATTGTATTTCAGTGAGGAGCTGTGTTATTGGATAAGGTAAAAAAAAAAACAATTGAAATCAGAGCAAAAATTGAAACCAGACTTTAAAGTAAACCTATTAAAATTATTTAAGATCTTTGGTCTAACGCAGGCAAGGGCAAACTAAGGCCCGAGGGCCGAATGCGGCCATTTCCTTGCAATACCCATGTTTCCCCAATAGATAATGAAAGTATAGATAATAGATAATAAAAGTATTTTAACATTTTAGCCTTTAAAAATAATAAAATTTTAACATTTTAGCCTTTATGCATGACTTTTACATATCATTTATCTTAATTTACACGAATGCTTCATTTATCTGCTCCTGACTCAGCCCCCCTTTCAATTTTAGGACAATTGTGGCCCAACGAGTCAAAAAGTTTGCCCATGCCTGGTCTAACGCCATCTATTATTTTTTTCTTTTCCTAAAACTGAGAGAACATTTGCATCATAAACATAAATTTGTTTCAACTGATATGTAACGAAATATATTTAATTGTTTTGACAAATAAAGGCCTTTTTTGAATTGTCCTGGAACTTTTTGACATCAGACACCAAGTCTGTGCAATAAAGTGCCGTCAAAGTTAACATACAGTAGCATGAAGGATTACAGAGAATGATAATCAATTTCCCACACTTTCATGCAGAAAGGTGTCGACACTTACTGATGGCGGGGGCGATGCCTCCCACAGAGCCAGGTCCAGGAATGTTACCGGCCACAGCTGCTGCCTGAGCCGCAGCTGCTGCCTGAGCCGTCGCCGCCTGCTGCTGCATCTGTCTGTGGCACTGACGCAAGTCAAACACCTGGAGGAGGACGAGCAGAAGGAAGCGTCAGAAACTCAGGAGGAACTGAGATGGTAAACAATTCGTGTTTTTGACTAGATCGTGTCAAACTCTGATCGATTTGATCTACGTGACTTTACTGCAACAGTCAAGTTAATCTAATTTGCTAACTAACTAAAAACTACAATAACCATTCACAAGTGATGCCTGTACTGTCCTAGGAAACAGATCCTAATTACTGCTTTTTGAAAGAAATTATCGATATGAAGAAGTTATCACAATACTTTGTTTTACATTATCGTATCGACATTCATGGCGTTAGTTCAATTTTATATTGCTTTTATTTCTTCACTAGCCATTTTAATAACCTGATGATAAGATGTAACAGTATTATGTATATCACAATATATATATATACACACACATATGCGTCGATTACGTAGATTCTTGCTAATAGACACCTGGAGATTAAGCCAGTGAGTTGCACTTCACTCCTGGTTGTGGTGTCTTTTTTTCCAAAGCTAAAAGGCTATCTGACAAGTAAACACTACAGTCTACTGTTGACAGGTGTAATTGTGAATAATTAAAAAAGACACATTAATTGGTTTGTTCAGAGTAAAAAGGCTCAGTTGAGTCAACAAGATACTGCCAAATGTTTGGCAGTATAATCTGGCAAGATAATACTAAAAAAACAAAACAAAACACGTAGTGTCAACATTTGGCAGTCTTTCAAAACTATTTGGGCGTCTTTAGCGTACACAAAGTGTGCCGCGTTCCCACCTTGATGTAAGCACTGGGGTAGATCTTGTGAACAGCATCTCCAGGGGCGCGTCCTGCCTCTCGGTCCAGGTAGTAGCTCTGTACAAACACGGCATGGTCGCTCAAACAGCGCACCCACACATCCCCTTCACCTTTGCACTCCAGCTGCACGCCCTTACCAATGTGGAGCCTGACGTCAGAAAGAAGGGAGACATCGGATTTATTCTACGCTGATAACATTGAACTTGGAGACACGATCTCTGAGCTTCATCAGTGGAAATGAACGACAGGTTCAGATTCACAAATACATCATGGAAGGGTACCTGGCTCTTTCAATGTTTTCTGTCCTGTGTACGTTGCTCAGTTGCCCCAGGCAAAAGCGGTCTCCTCCTGATGGATCCACATAGCCATCAACGGTGACTATGGGACAGGTGGACGGCACTTTAAACGTCTCCCCTACCTGGACGTCCATTTCGAAGTAAGCAATAGAGCACCAGTATTCTGGTGCTGGGCAAAAGAAAAAGGCAAAAAAAACAACAACAAAAAAACATAAATGAAATACTGTACAGGGATTATATTTTTTTTTTTTAATATTTTTAATTATATTATATTTTAATTGTACAGGGATTTTTTTTTTTTTAAATATTTTTAATTATATTATATTTTAATATTTTTAAGTACCGTATAAAAAGATTCGTGAACAATTTTAATTAGAAAATTAGAAGAAAATAAACTTACCAGGGTGATTGGATATAGGAGGCTGGAACGCAATTTCATTAGTGACTGGCCCTGTAATTTTATAGATGTTTTTAATTAATAATACGTTTTTTATCATCACTTATTTAAAAACGGACAAATTAAAACAGACAATGTAATAATAATTTAAACTTTATTTATCCCACATTTGGGATACATCCAACAGGCTGCCCCCTTGAGGCGCCAAGTGTGTTGTTCCTCTGGGAATCGAACCCGAGGCATGCGTGCTAACCGCTACGCCATGGAACCATTAAGATTCGACATCTTCAGTCAGATACAGAAATTAATTTCGCACCAATCAAAGTCATTTAACCTAACTGACTGTATTACATTTACACTTTGAATTTTTCTTTCTACTTACAGTAATGTCCTGTGTGAGGCATGGGTGGATGATGCTGGAGATGACCATTCTGGTGCTGAGGCACCGCAGGAGTGAAACTGCTGCTCCTGCTCCAGTTCTGGGTGGGGTCTGTAAAAACAGAAAAAAAATTGAAAAGATGTGTACATAACAAAACGATCTTTTTTCAAAGCTTGATAATCACACTACTACAGTGATAACATTATGTATATTTCCAATGTTATGTCTCACTTGAGGGTCCAGCGCTGATGGTGGAGAAAGCAGAGGTTGAGGCTGAACTGCTGCTCTCTGGTGGGGGCAGTAGAGTTGGGCTGCTGAAAGTCTCTTGTGGACCAGGCCTCGATGGCGGATGCTGGATAGTCTGCAGGTGGCTCTCAGAGCTGGAGTGAGATTGCTGGTTATCGTAGTCATATTCATCCTTTACCAAGAGGGGACCTGGCAGGACAGATGGGGGGAAAAAGTAAGTAAAAGTAAAGTAAAGTAAGTAAATATATTCAGTAACTCTGACTTCTGACTTTTACCTGAACTTGAAAGAGTCAACCCTGATAAATCTGGAAATAAACAAATAAATGTGAGTCAGCATAAAGATAATATGCATATGTTTTAAACAACACACTGGAACATAAATTAGATTTTTTTTTTTATATTGTAAAATAATTACATTGAGTCAGGAAAAATAAATACATGAGGCTCACTAACCAATGCCCGGGGAGACGACCCTTTCATAGTGATACGGATTGACACAAACACTGTCACATTTCAGATCGAAGGCATACTGGCAATATTTCACGTGCTTCAATTCATTTTTGTGAAGATCGGGCCATCGCCAAAGTCGGGCGTAGACCACATGCGGGAAACCTTTACGTCCTGCAACCTGAAGCACACGATCAATCAGCCTGTGTTTCTGTACTGTCTCTGAAATTACTAACCTACAGTAAACAGTAACACCTTCATTAAACCACTTACCTGAAGGCGTCCGTCTAAAGTCCGCTGTATGGTTACACACTTGCTGGGATGCGCTCCGTTTGTAGTGATGGCTGTGATGAGGGAGTCCAGTTCATCCTTCTTCTCTTTCAGCTTCTTGACCAGACTCTCAATGGCCCGTTTAGCGAAGCTCTCGCTCTCCCCTCCCTGTCGGTGGCACATAAGGCTGTGCACAATGCTCAGACAAGCATCATTACTCGTGGGAGTGTTTGTGATTGACATTTCTGCTCCTTAGGTTTCAACCTTGGGGAGGCTGTAGGGTCGTATCCTTGTATGACTTTACCGGTTGTGGATGACGTGAGACTGATCGCCGATCTAATGTGATCCACAGCTGTGAAAATTATGACAAATGTTTTGCATTAGGAGGACTTTACAACCTTTATTTGTTGTATGAGAAATTAACAGACTATATATATATATATTTACTGTATACAGTTGCTTAATGGTACACAGGAAGCATATCTCTGAATAGAATTTTTTTTCTTAATTTACCGGGAAAAATAATTAATAGGATTGTCAAAAAAGTAATTCAATGAATCTGTTATGTAAATTAATCGCATCCTTTAACAATACATTATCAAAAGGAACAAATGTTTAATTTAACTTGTCTACAATAGTTAAAACTATCATTTTACAATACGTCAGTGTTATTTATTCTTTATACTCTTCGATTGGCAATAATATACAAACAGTATATATTCGTGAGACTATAAATTTTTATGGAGTAATAAGGTTTCATGGGTATTTTTTCCAGTTTATTTTAGCACTGACGGCGCTAATAAACATTGGTAGCAGAAACTAAACATCAATAGCCATATCATTATATTGAACCAAAAAAAGAAAGGTTGTTTACAATAAAACTACCGCATTGTTTAAAACAATTTTTCCGCACAAATAACATTTATTTTTAATTACGTGTGTCAACGTGTGTTGAAGATAACATTAATTTGTGCTATTGCCAGGCTGCCGATGCTATTAGCGCCGCAACGCTATGTGGCTAACGCTAGATGTGGGGGGAAAAAAGTCGTTTTAAAATGCGACAAGGGTCAAACAAGCACTGGTTCGAGCACTTACCGTGATTCCCTAGTGCCACAGCCTTACCCCCAGTGTTAACCGATGACAAGAATACACCGATATCTCGTTATTTCTGATATGCTGTGCTCAGCTTTCGTTAGCCTACGAGCACATTCCGCTAACAGACGTTCATCAACTTGACGCTAACACGCTGGCTAACCTTCCAGTGTGATGGCCCGAGTATAATTTGCCCTTCTGGTGAAAAAGAAAAAAGCTTCGGTATCAAAAACACTATCAAGTGGCTCGGAAACTTGAGTTAAACGTCTTTGACAGCGGGAAAAAAAACAGTTGCAGCGCCTTCACTCACAACAGACCCTGAAAATAAACAAAAAAATAACCTCTCCCACCCACCAGGCTCTCACTGCGCATGAGCGGGCGAATCTGACAGGCGTGGCGCTGCTGCTGGTTTTCCTCCACATGTTAAAAATGTGAAGTCAACACGATGGAAGTCATTACTGCGTAAAGCGTCGAAAATTTGTATTTCGTTTTACAAAAAAATGCAAAATTATACAAAAAATACGTTGCTAAATAGTCCTAATAAAACAAATATAAACAGCATTGTTTACATTGGTTGCTAGACGTTTGTTCTTCGTGCACTTTAGATATCAAATATATTAGTAAGTTTCAAAGCAGATGCTTCTCCATTTTTTTCATTATATCCACAATTGCCAAATATTAATAATAATGATAATAATCATAGTCGTCTAATGAAAAACAAACATTTGTCCAAAATAGTCCAATCCTCTCGGGGTTTCCAAACACATTCGTTATATCACGTTTCCAATCAGCTCCTTTTCACCTGGGCTGTAACAGTCACATTGAAAGCCTTGTTTTTCCTGCCTCTCTGTTACCATAGAAATACGACGACAAAAATATTTTCTGGCCTCCACGCGGTGGACGGCTTTATCACAATAAAATATCTTCCCCTTGTGGATATTCTTATGAATTCCTGTGACTGAATTTTATTGGTTGAAGACGATGTTTACACAGAAGTGACACAGGAGTAAAGCTCAATGTGTTCATCACATTAAAAAATATGTATTTATATAAGATAACAACACAAGCTAATGTTTGCTGATTTTTGGCTAAAATGTTTGGCTTTTTTTTAGCTGTCTTTATTTGCGGTACTTCCAAACTTTAGGTAATTTACCAATATTTTTGCCACTTATGCTCATATTCACGTTGTGTTTGTGGTTCACTTTGACTTACTGTTTACGAGGTTAATGTTTTGTTACTTTTGTGTAAACTTTCGTTGTCTCTAAGTTAGTCTGTTTCGTTTACTTGTTCTAATTTAACATGTTATTGAAAAGCTGTAGCATTTGCTGTTTTGTTTTTTTGTTTGTTTGTTTGTTTTTTGCTTACTTTGTTGAACCAGTCTGTTCAAATTTTTCTTATCATTTCCTCATGTTTTTTCTATTTTCTTGCCAACTCTAGCAATCATTGTTTTTCTTTGGCCTAACTGTACTTTTTTATTTACCTGTTATTTATTTCTATGGTTAAAAAACAGACAATTAAACAGTCTCATAGTCCATTATAATGGATCCGTTTGGACAGCCCTGGTCTCTTCACATATTCACCAAATAAATTACAGTTAATATTTGATACTCAGTATTAAGTCAGTAAGGTCAGAGATAACAGTATTTTCATCCAGTTTTTTTTTCCAGTTCCTCTGTCCTCGTGGCCTGTGTAAACCACATGGGTTCCATCAGGTTGGATTGGTATTCAGTGCCGTCTCATTGTTGTTATCTGCTTCCGACTGTTAACAGCAGAAGGTAGGTGATGATGTGACATGAATTTTTCCATTTGCACAGTTACGGTGGCCTCGATAAGGGTGTCAGCATGCCTGTGTCGAAAAAAGGAAGTGAGAGGAGTTCAGAGGGCGCCCAGCAACGCCATGGTTGTTGTCAATAGACTGTGTTGGTGTTGGAGACCAGGAATCTGACACCAAGTCTCATAAATGCTGCCACTTGGAGTGGCGTCCCATCCTGAGTGACGCTCTACGAAACTCCAGGCTCTGACACCTCCTTATCACTGTGGCATGGAGGAGATGGGTGGGGGTGGGGAGGGAGAGGGAGAGAGAGAGAGAGAGAGAGAGAGAGAGGGAGAGGCCTGTCAGGCATGTGATGCTAAAGTGATGGGGATCAAGGCTGAGAGTTAGTGATCGCTGGTTGTTCCTGTGAGTAAGAAGTTGTTTTTCCAGATTTTTTTTTTTTTTTTTTTACAAACCAAAGGTAAGGAAAGGTAAATGTCAGGGTTGGAAGTCATACTTATGCTAGTGGACAATACATGAGGAGCTTTAACAAGGAAGAAAAAGGAGGGGAAGAAGGAGGAGAAGGAGGAGGAAATGAAGATGAAGAAAAACAAGCAGAAAAAGGACCCAACAGCTTCAACATGCATTTAGAAACTGAACAACTAACAGTCAACACTGGACGATATAAACCAGGCATGAGCAAACTACGGCCCGAGGGCCAGATGCGGCCCCTTTGGCCTTTTAATCCGGCCTGTCAAACTTGTCCAAATTGTATTATTAATTTATATTATCATTATAGTTTTGCCTTTTCCCTGCAATGCCTGCATTTCACCAATAGATGGCGTAAAAAAAGCTAAACGGATGACTTTTACATATCAATTATCTTTGTTCACGCAAACGCTCCATCTATTTAATAAAAGATTTTCCCTGAAACGCTAACATCCCGTGTCATTTGAAGTGAATTATTACGGTTGGATTCTTAGTGTTGCTGTTACAGTGTTGGAAGACTAAACATGGTGGTTCCACAGTGTAGCGGTTAGCACGCCTGCCGAGTGTGAGTGTGAAGGGTTGTTGTCTTTAAATAGTGTCCTGCAATGGACTTCTGGGATTGACTCCAGGCCTCGTGACCGTGAGGAGGACTGACGTGGTAGAAGATGAATCGACGAATAATCAACTCTCTACAGATGTAAAACTGACACTCGTTGTACACCTTAAACCCAGAATAGATGCTTAAATCAAAGCTAAAAAAAGTCGTATTATCAGTTCTCCTCCATCAAGAGTACAAATAGTTTCAGGGTAAGGAACCAAAATTGGTTCTAGTAAAAAGTTCCATCTCTGAAGACAAGGTGGAGTGAATGTATTCCATCTAGGCCTTAATCTCTGAAGACAAGGTGGAGTGAATGTGTCGCTGACATTCACAGGTGAGAGACTGAAGGTCTGTCACCTTCAATGATTCATACTGTTGTAATGTCTTCAACACTTCAAGTCTTTACTTTGTCCTTTTTTCCAATAAATTAAAGTCAAAGAGAATAATCCAGTTAGAAACTGCAGTATTTATTGAGTTTATTGAGTAAAAGTGAACCAACGTTTCTGGATAAGGGGAGGTTTGTAGAACTTTATTACTGAAGCTAAAATATGAATACCACTCCTGCTGATACGACACACTACTCTGTTAATTACTAGTAGGGATGTTCGATATTAACTTTTCGCCAATATCCGATATGCCGATATGGTCCGAACAGGTTATATCCGATATCAACCGATACTGATACGCAGCCTTTTGGGTTAAGCTAGTGGGCAGTCGATATCAACCTTTTGGGTTAAGCCTTTTGGGTTAAGCTAGTGGGCAGTTGATATCAACCTTTTGGGTTAAGCTAGTGGGCAGTGGTGTGCTGCTATGACAAACAATCACTTTCACTTTCACTTCAAAACTATCTTTAGGTCTGGGTTTCACCCAGGTATGACGTTGTCGGGTTTTCATTATCGGAGGAAAAACCAATAACAATTCTTATCGAAATTACATAATTATGCTAATATTGGCCGATAATACAGGTAAGCTGATATTCCTTTGCATTTGTTGCAAATATTCGATATGCTGATATTGTACAAACACTTAATTTCCGATTCCGATATCAACCAATACACGCAAGCGTTTGGGTTAAGCTAGTGGGCAATGGCCCACTTTTCTTTCACTTTTAGGACTATTTTTAGGTCACATTATCTGAGCAAAACCCAGGCATTGCGTTATCGGGTTTTCATTATCGAAGGAAAAAACGATTATTACCAACAATACACTATTATGCTAATATCAGCCGATAATATATATTACACTATTATGCTAATATCAGCCGATAATATATATTACACTATTATGCTAATATCGGCCAATAACGTCGATTGGCCGATGTTATCAGACATCCCCAATTACAAGTCAGGATGATGCTGACTCAGGTGTGTGTATGAGATAAAGAATTACAATGAAATCATCACAAACCACATCAGACGGTTTAAGAAGAATCGCAACATTAGCCTGAAAGCCTCATGTCATACATTCACATATTAACCTTTATACAATTGCACATTTACAAAAGCACTATTTTACACCTAGGTTTTTTTTTTACACAGCACTGTAGTAAATCTCAGAACCTGTGGGGACAAGCATGACAGACGACGTGTGCAATGTGCAGTCTCTGGGTGGCGCTATCACGACTATCTGCAGCCGCACTCTGCCACCACCATGCCCTCGTACTTCTGCATGAACGTGATGATGCCGTTATCGTGGTACAGCAGCGATATGGGCTCCAGTTTGGTGGGCACACAGCAGGCTCGCGAGGCCCTCCCTGGACTCTTCACACTCAGCAGAGTTTGCACTATGGCGTGTTTGGTGGGCGACACCTCGGAAGTCATCGGTGGGTTGCACACACCGTTGCACTCGTAGGCTTCGTAGCCCATGGGCTGGATAATCCACGTGTCCCAGCCAATTTCTTTAAAATCCACATAGAGCGGGGTCCTCTTGCAGGGCTGGTTCTTAGCATTGCGCCGGATTCGTGAAGGTAGTTGGACGAGGGACTGTTTGTCCAGGTCGTCCTGGTTGACGTTGGCTGCGTTGCGGCCGACAGGATCCCGGGAAGACTGCTGGTCGTGTCTCACATTTTCACGGAGATCGTTCTCGTGTTCCATGATCTGGGTGATCTCTTTCTTATCCCGTTGGCGGTCTTTCCTCTCGTCATCCGAGAACACAATCATCATAGCGTTGTGTTTTCCGTCCAGACTCCTGTCAACATCAACCTCGACCAAACTTTCACCGTGCTCACGTTTTAACCCTTTGTTCGCCGCACCCAGACTTGCAACGTGAACCTCCAGTCGACGAGTCGCGCACCCCGATTTCAGCCATTGACCGACCACATGTGTCAGGTCAAATGACACCCAGGTGTTATCTTTGGCATGAATACGCTTTGTCATCAGTTCCTCCAAATCCGTCAGCTCCACCAGCCCTCCCGTGTCACTCCTTCTCTCTTGTGTTCCCACCTCTTTTGTCCAAGCAACTCCTTCATGTTTACTGTAAATGGTCACCTCGCAGTCCTGGCCAGGACGAGGTCTCTGGGCCTTCTGGACCAGGGTGAAAAGATGCAGTTCGGCTATTGTTATGTGTTCGTTTCGTGGAACGGTGATGTTGAACAGCAGAGGAAATATCCACACGCCTCGTGTTGTTAAACTGTAAGGGGAGGAATCTGAAATGTAAACATCAATAAATGTGTCTCAATTCATTTTGTCAACATTAGATCATAAAAGCTGGTGCTCAACCGTCCGACTGACGTCCAGAGTTGAATAACACATGCACACACAAATATATGAGTCGTATATATACCAGTGTTTCCCAAACTTTTTTTCTGGGGGCCCATATTTTAAAAGTCACAAACCTTCGCAACCGAAGTCAATAGACAGTATTCGTAAACTACTGGGAAACATGATGCGAGAAGACCCCAAAAAAAATCTCACGACCCAGTTTTTGGGAAACAATGGTATATAGCAACAGAATCTTTCAACATTTTCAGAATTTTTCATTTTTCATTGACGGAAACCAAGCACATACCTTCATTCTTGAAACTTCGCACGATGTTGGCCGAAGTGCGGTCGTTGGCAAATCGATTGTACAGCTCCAACATGTACTCCGGAGGCTCCCCGTGGGCCACGAGCGGCCGGGGTTGGGGCCTTAACTCTGTGAGGTTTAGTGTGGACAGGAACTGGCTCAAAAAGTCCTGAGCTTCTCTACCAACCGGCGATCTGTGGCGTTTCCCAGATGAGCCCGTGGCACTGCTCAAGCTCAGAGTGGTCCACAGAAGAAGCAGAAAATTCAGAAAGAGCATAAACCCGAGGCTGGAGAAGACTGAAGCGGTCATGGCTGAGCGGAGGAAAAGATTAGATCCAAAAAGCCAGTATCAGTAGAAAAGGTGTGATGGATTCGGATCGTTGGAGAAGACACTCGTGCACGGTTCAACGTTTGACGAGAGGACTGACCTTCATTGAAGAGGACAACAGGTTGCTGTTGGGGGGAAAGGAACAAACAGCTTTGCCCTTGTTGATCTTCCACTTGTAAGGACAGGGCTGAGCTGTCCAATGTGCTGCGCTGACATGTGTCCCACACAGCCCTCCTCTCTCTCTCCCCACACCAGGACCCTATGACCTTAATGTGGACCAATCTTCATTCCCATTCTGATCTTTGTTGGTTTCTACTCACTGAGAAAAACACAGTGAATATTTAAACCACGGCTGAAGTTGGTTCAAACTCTGCTGTGCCTTTAGTTGTTAACAAACAACCACGTGTATTTGATAGTGAAAAAACCTGACATAGTGAAAAATGACTTTGAAAATCAATTCAAATATTAAGACTAATCTGTCAAATTTTCATCAATTTCCAAAGCCTTCACTTTAAAACTCTACTGAACTTTAATACAATCAATGAAACAACATTTCACCACTGGCCATAATGAAGCTGAAGCCCCGCCCCCCCGCCACAGCTCTGTGGCCCTCTGTGGGACACACCCCCCACCTTGGGAACCACTGATCTATTCCCATGTAATCTAACATCCAAGTTTCGAGAATACCTTCGTTACTGACACACAATTTCACAATGCCTTTATGAGATTATATATGTAGCAAGATCCATATACGGATTGATGTACTGTAAATATATAAATATTTATATTTATATATATTTATATATATACATATGTCTGTATACATATATATTTATATATGTATTTTAAATATAAATATACATACACATATACATATATTCAGTATATATGTATATACAGTATGTATGTGTATATATACTGTATATTCACATATATGCATATATATACATATATACACATATATGTATATACATAATTTTAATTTCTCAAAAATGTGTTTTAAATACATATACACACATATATACATATACACACATATATGTATATATATATACATATATCTATATAGATATAGATATATAAATTTAATATCTCAATCTTAATTTTTTTGCAGATTCGAGAACTCTCCATTCACCCATTTAGGCTCTAGGGAAGTAAGAGCTCAATATTTTTGATCCTAGAACTGTGATTGAATATTTATATACAGTACACATTTGATGGAACACTTTGAAAAAGTTCACTTGGATTTTATCACCAGGGACACAGAACATCTTGACTTTGCAATTTTTCTGTTCACACTTTCTCACAAAAACTCTCCAAATCAGTCATCCTGTGAGGAAGTCTCCTGCTCACAGCCCGTCGCTCCGTTAGACCACAAATATTAGATTGGACCCAACCTTCGACAACTTCGTTAAAGTTATACTTCTACTTATTGATAAATAAGCTTTGGGTTGTTGTTGTTGTCAGCTTTTTTTGTTGATTCCTTTTTTATGTTTTAGGTGGAAAGAATAAACTGGCATTTTTTGACAGTTTATTACCATTTATGTCCTGACAAACAGTCCCAGTTAAAAAGATGAAAACAGCCCCAAGCTTCAAGTTACCACCACTGTGCTTTACAGCAGTCTTTTATTTTAAATAATAAGCAAAGTTTGGGAGAAAAGTAACTTTTAGATTTTTAGGCCAAAAACTCAAAATTTTCTGCAACTTTTAGTTTTGCAGAAAAAAACTACATAAACTATAACAAAACCTTTTTATACCTCATAACAGTTGCAGTTGGTAAGCTAGGCTAACCTCTGCTTGGCTGGGCAAGGCTAGGCTAGTTTAGCCAATTTTTCTGTAACTAGTTCCATGTACAGTTTATTTTATGTTGAGCACATTTGTTTTCCTGGTGGTCAGTAAATATCTCTGCTGAAGAAGGGACCTCTAACATGCTATGTTAGCTATGGCTAGGCTAGGCTAGGCTAGACATGACCTCTTTGTTTTTAAAGCAACATTTTGACTCATGAGATGTCACTTAAAAACGACAAACAGTCTATGGAACATAATAGTGTTTCAACAGGAAATGAGAAATAATGCAGATCATTTTATTTTTCATTCTACATTGCAATGCAAAAGGACCACTGCAAAGCAGAGTTGTACTGAATATAGGATTAGTTACTGGTATTAGGGAATACACATCAATAACTTTAAATTAATAACATGGGTATTACAATAATAAATATTACAATATAAATGCCCTCGTTTGGATTATTAACAGTCCTTAGTTACACATTTACAATCTTGTTCCACCGTTCAATGAAATACAGGTAATAGAGAATATTAGCTGTTGCACAGTCAAATCTGATAATATTGTCGTTAGGTACAAAATGAAATCCAAATCATTTGAGTGCGTTTGACGACAAAATTGACCAGAGTCACTTCATGTTGACCTCAAACACCAACAAAAATATATGAAAGTATTTAATATGGGTTTCCTCCGGAGCGTTAATCTAAGTCTGAAAACCTTCAAAACTGCCTACGGATGGTGATTTCCTCAGGTTAGGTAAACAGACCAAACTCAAACCACATGTCTGTTAAGGTCTTTATACTAGTAGTATCATAAATGGTCACGTAATCGAGTAGCTGTAAAACTTATACTGTACACGTCATATATTCTTTGGACTCTCATTTCACCATTTGCATATTTCGATTTTTTTTTTCTTCAGAAATCATATGTCATCATTCACAATTGAAATCCCAAAATAAGGAACTCAAACTAATCTCCCGCTCCATGATCTCCACCCTACGTTGGCACTACAACAAAGAGAAACTGTTTTTGACTGAATTTTCTTCTTTTTTTTTTTCTCTGTCTGCACAAGAATGATTAAATGTCATAAATCTGTGGTTCACCGTGAGAATGAGTCTCTTCCAGGTTGGAACTGTCTGCTGCGGCGCTGTGGTCATGTTCACACCCAGGAGTCCAGTGGTGGAGGTTTGTTATCCATGAGGCCCACTGCAGGCCTGCCAGCTCTAATGAAGTGTTTTCTTTCACTCACAGCCTACAGGTCGACAAATATGCAGTCACAGTTAGATCAAGTTGTGTTAAAGAAAAAACAACAACAACAACAACAACCAGGCAGTCAGGAGAGAAGACCATATATGAAAAATGGATTTGCCAAAGTCCCTAATCAGCTGCAAAAGTCAAGTCAAAAAGTTCTAAGAAAACTATCCTCCACTTCAGTCTACACCAGGCGTGGGCAAACCTTGACTCGTGGGCCACAATTGTCCTAAAACTGAACAGGGGGTCAGGTCAGGAGTTCTTGTCAATTAAAATATATATAAAAGTTATGTATAAAGGCTAAAATGCTTGTATCATTTTCTATGCCATCTATTGGGGAAACATCAGTATTGCAGGGAAAAGGCAGAAGTATAATAATGATATAAATTAATTATATAATTTGGAAAAGTTTGGCGGGCCGAATTAAATAGACTGAACGGGCCGCATCTGGCCCCCGGGCCTTAGTTTGCCCATGCCTGGTCTACACACAACTAGAAGTGGTTTTTCACGACACTCTCTTTTATTTGTTATTGTGCAGTGGGCACCTCAGGCCCCCAGGGTGCAGTGTGTGGGGACGAGGTCATGCTCGGTGCACCTCAGTGGATTCGAACCTACTTAACCACCGCTGCCCCAATTCATATAATTATAGGGTGGACTTAAACCGAATTTTCCCAATGAGTCATGATTAGTCATCAATAAATTCCAACCATCCTTAACACTTAATAAATCGATTGGTCACTTGTTCAGTCCCTTCAGCAGAATCAGATGTTCTACAGACGCTAGCTTCAAGTTCTTTACACTCCTCTCATTTTCCTCTAAATAGGATTTTCATCTACAGAATGGTCACCGACTTCTATTGAAGAAAGTTTAAAATGAGTGATAGAAAAAAGACCAAATTACACTGACATTTTGTGGCTGTAGATTGCAGACAACAATTCTCTCTAATATATTGTATATATATATATATATTATATCCTGTCATTTAGAACAGGACATAAACAAAACAAAAACAAATTAAAAAAAGAACTTTAGAAAACACAGGGCGTACATCATTTACCTGCAGAGCGTCTCTTTCCACCACCGGCCCTTTTCCATCTCCGACCCTATCACTTGGCTCTAGGCTGGCGTACACATCTGCAAAGTACATGTAGTACATCAGATTAGCAGTACAGGATAGGAAACAAAAACACCTGACGAAGCAGCAGCCTGAAAAAAAGACAACGTGTCTTTGTAAAATGTCAGGTTTGTTTCTTTACAACACGTTTTCACCATTAAAAAAAACAAAAACAACCCAAAACACAAACTCTCATTACAGACACACACAAACCAGAGTGTTTTTCCCTGCGACACCCGCGGTCATTCTGGAGGCAGCTCTTATGGAATGGTGCTCAAATGAAATGTGACTGGCGAAGCATGCAGTTGCTCTGCCTCTGGGAGGGACAGCTCCGGCTTAATAAGCCAAGTCTGATAACCTCAACAACACTTCATGGTTTCAGGCTGTTTCTCAAAGGAACGTCATCTGCGGCCCAGGAACGCCCTGTTCTTCGTCCCTGACATGTCGTGAACCCCAGCGTGTTCCAAAATCTCCTTCTGCTGCCTGAGCTGGAGGACACTTCTCTCATTTAATAGACGCTATAATAACATTCTGTTGAGGGAATTCATGGATTGATTTTGCCGACCTTGGTTTTTGTCCATTAGAGGTAAGGTGATGTCATCGCCTCCTTGCTTTGCACTCTTGGACTTTTTAGTTGTTCCTGTAGTCGGTGGCTTTGACAGACACAGAAAAAAAAAGTTGCTTCTTAAAGGCTGCACGTCACTATGCTAACCTTCAGTTTTTGAAAACATTTTTTTAACAATTACCTTGAAGTGGCTCTTGGTCCAACCTGCTTTGATCAAGGTGTTCCTCAGGTCTTTGTAGGCCCATATGGTCTGGAGTACATGTGAAGCTGCCTTGCTCTCCCGTGCTGATTGGCTGACAACACATAAACATGAGTCATTGGAGGCGACCTACAACTCTGACACTGAGGATGGATTAAAGTCAGTACTTTTTTTTCCTCTCCGTGGCTTTTTTGGCTCCAGGTTCCACCAGGTATATTATCAAGAGTATATCAGAATTATTGCTACAAATACAACAGTCCCTGGGCTGCTTGTTTTAGAGGTCACCACATTAGATCACCTGCATCCACTCCACTGCTCCCCCGCCTCTCGACTCTTTGTCCACGTCTACTATGTCTTTCTGAACGTCGGTTTGATCTTCTGTCATCGTTAATGTCAATGTCAAACCGTTCCATTGTCCCTCCTCACGTCCAAATCATCCCAACACTTCCATCTCATCTGCTCGTGGCTAATCTTGTCATTCCTCATCCATACCATCATAGCAGATCTCACTACCATTACGTTCTTTTTTATTTTTGTACCAACTGATACGAGGATGAGAATTTTCATTTGTGTCACCGTTGCCCGCTGAGCAGAAAGTGAGCAGAGCTTTTATCTCTTTGGCAAATTGCGATTGAATGTGACGATGAAACGCTGTCTCCTGCAGCGTTCCAGGAAACAAATGCACTCGAACAACACACACGGTGTCGGTTAAATTCCCTGAGCCTCAACAGAAAATGACTGAGGTGTAAACGCCTCATCTCTCCACTGTGTCGTTAAACTGAGAAGACACCTCTACAGGTGATTTATTAAAACTGCTCATATTGTTTTCAATTAAATATGAACGTATTCAGCGCCAAAGCCCTCTACAGGTGATTTATTAAACTGCTCATATTGTTTTCAATTAAATCTCGAGGTCAGTCCTGCTCCCGTCTTTGTCCCCGTTCAACTGCTGACGTCGTTGACCTACTTAAATAAACTGCCAAGAGGACAACGAGACACCGAACTGACGGCTGAAAATGTTCGCATTCATTAACTCTAACTGACCGGTGAGTAGTTGGTGGTACTGAGAAGTCTTTAGGAGTACTGTATTAAGTACCAGTCAGTTAATACTCCTCAGAGCTTTGGTTTTTGTAATGCAATGTTTTCTAATGAAGGAATGGACTTGATACAAATACAGGGGGTCGCTGACTTATGTTGAACTCACTCACCTATATGCACACTAGTGTGATCATAAGGTGTGCAGTGGAAAATTACACAATATCACTTAATTGGTCTTTAAACTATTATTTATTTAATGCTAATAATCGTTCTTTGTTCGTCAGTGCATAGTGACAGACAATGAAACAATGAAATACTTTTCCACCAGATGGCAACAGACGGCAATGAAAACATGAAAAATCTTTGTGTGTGTCTTTCCTCAATTCCTGCGTGTATACCACCGCCGTCTTCAACCAAACAGGCCAAGATTTATCACTGAGTAAATATAAACTAAAAGATGATTGTATTTCACTACATGTACTTTTCGTGGTTTAGTCGTGTTTTTTTTTTCTTTTTTTTCAAATGAAAAATATGTGCCGTAGCTCAAAAAAGGTTTGAAAACACTGATCGAGAAAATGAAAACATCTGAAGAGTCTGACTTACACTTGGGAGACATAATGAAACGCAAAAAGTTCTCCAAAAATGCAGCAAATGCAGCACAATCCAAAAGTATGGCGTACAAACGGCAAATCTAAACAAAGCCGACTTTCGCGTACAGCACTATACTTGGGAGACATAATGAAACGCAAAAAGTTCTCCAAAAATGCAGCAAATGCAGCACAATCCAAAAGTATGGCGTACAAACGGCAAATCTAAACAAAGCCGACTTTCGCGTACAGCACTACGTAACGATAAATTCATCCACTCGCCAACTAGTTCCCATGTGAAATTAGTTTTAACCCCTTATGTCGGAATAAGACTTTTTCAAATAAATTTAAGGGAGATGGAGACGTGACCACCCCTGGTCAAGGACCCCGTGTACTTGTATCGGTACACCCCTAACTACCATCTAGTACTTATATATCCTAAAAAGTCATTACACACCTGGACCTGTTGATGGCCACCAGTTTCTGGACGGCGTGACCCTGTATGACGGCTCTGGCGTTCTCAGGGTTGTCTGTGATGATCTCATGGATGGTGTTCAATATGGACACCACAGTATCGCCCTCTAGATTCTTTGCCGGGTGCTGCTGTCCACACGGCAGGTTGTTGACCAGGTCCCTCAGAGCGTAACCCCCTACGACAACAGACGGCGGACCAAATGAAGTGTGAGATTTTCAGAGATGAAACAAGTCTCCTCCGTCACTGATGTCAACTAGAAATGTGAACCTATCAAGTCTTTATTCCGTCGGTCCATGGCCAGGTTACGAAGAGCAATAGCCACGGCTCGCACCACTTTGTCCACGTCTGAGCGCAGGAGCTCCACCAGAAGGGGGAGCCCTTTTTCTTTCCTCACTGTAGCGCGGATGTAGCTCGACCACTAAAAGGACAAGCACAAGACAAAATATGGCTTTTTTTTGGAGCTGTCCATTAAAAGGATTACCAGTAAACTAGCCTTTGTCAAAACCAGTGAATAAAATGTCAACAGCGGTCAAAAGTAGGACATGAAATCTTAGTGTTCCAAGAACTGCTAAAATAAAGTGACGTTCATGACAAAGTACGTCACAATATTTGACAGCTGTATGGAAGTCCATGACGTGCAGAGCAGTAAAAGAGATTTTCTTGAATCAAACCGTCTGTTGACCGAGTCGGTCTGCAGGAAGTGGAGTTAAATCCCGATGATCAATCCTACGTCCTGTCATTTTCAGACTTGTTTATTAAAACATCTTTGAAGAAATAGGCGTAGAGGTCAAGGTGGAGCAGTGATTAAAAAAAAAAGAAAAATCTTCCTCACTGTTTTATTATAAAATGGTTCGTGTCACAGTGTTAGAATTGGACACGGATAAAAATATGAAAATCTCATATTCAGAATTTTTCTGAGCATATTTTCATATTAATTCGTATTCGTAATAAAAGAAATAGGACATGGTTGTCAGAAAATGATGACAATCTCATGGTAGTGAGATTATTGAAGTCAAATTTTAACATTTTTCTGTGTCTATTGTGGAGACATTTCCGAGAAAAGACTTTTGTTTAAACTTTAAAAATTCTTGTCACGGATTGTATTATTTCGGTCAGTTTTATTACTCTGTGGGTGATGAGATGATTAACATATTGATCTCATTCATCTACAGCAGGGGTATCAAATATACGGCCTGCGGGCCACAACCTGCCCGCTAGGGGCTTCATTCTGGCCCGCTTGATGAATTTTGAAAGTGAAAAAAAAGGCCAAAACACTTCATGTTTGTGATGTTTTGTCAAATTATACTTCATTAAATATGAATATTTTATAACGTTCTTGAATTTTATGCAGGAAAACAAGGTGGGTGAAACATGGACTTATTGTTATTTATGGATAATTGTTTTGATTTCACTGGTCTGACCCACTTCTGACCCCTACAGGCTATAGAGCAGCATCAGCTCTTAGCTGGTTCGTCTTCTCGTTCACTCAGATACAGTTGATCTTGGTCGCAGCTCTGCATCTCTTTAATGTCAACACTTTCACGTTCGTTCATTCCGGGGAATCAGGACTCGGTAGTATAAAGTGTCATTATTTTAATTACTCACAGCCCACTGTCCTGCAGCAAGGTTCTGCAGCGCTCCCGCAGCCGCTTCCAGAGTGTTGTGGTTGTGACTGCAGGTGAGAAGGGAGAGGTAGAGCCTCACCACCTCCGGCTGGTACAGCAGCTCCAAGCCTTTAATTAAATGGCAAAAAGTCAAGACAGACATTCAGGCGGTGCCCCAGACTCAGCTGTACCGGATACACTTGACCAATTTGTACGAATATGACGCGATTATTTGGTTCCAGAACGGTCTGGAAAGACAGGTCCGTTTTGATATACGACATTTTAAAGGCACTTCACAAAAGAAAATAAAAACAGTGTTTTTGTTGCCTGCCAGAGATGGAAGCCGCTGGAAGGCTGACAATTGGCATAAAAATGTCCCGAGACAGGATTTTATCAGGCTTGTCATTCTGAATTGCCCTCACTGGCTGCAGTGTGGGAGGCACGCTCTCTGCACTAACAATGACCAGATACTCATTTACGTACTCAGCCCTGATCCACCAATAAAATCACAAATAAAGGATTACAAAAAAAAAGAAAAAAAACATTTAGTAATAACTGTGTGTCATATTGAACCTTCAGTACGTTTCCAAGTAAATGTTCCTCCACGAGATGCTTCCAGTTAATAAAGTCATCAGTCTTTACGGTGCTTCTGGGTCTATTTTGTTTGAGTAATAAAACGCTCATCAAATGGTGCAGGTACTGAGGTGAAGCTCTGAATCCGAATGAGTTCCTCAGGCTCAGCCAGCATCACGCCACAAAAACTTCAGGATTTTAATAGAAACGCCCATTAAAGAAAAAAAATGGAAAACGTTCTCAAAATGATTTAAAAAAAAAAAGAGTCTGTTGTAAAGTTATTTTGAGCAATTATTTAAAGGACAAGGACAATTTAAGGACTTTCAGTGTTTTGTTTTTTTTGTCCTAATACAATCTGTTATAAATATAAAAAATACCTATTTACCCACATCTTCATGATTATCTTCAATAATAATATTTGTATTTGCTGTGGAAGAACCTTGAGTTTTTCTTGTCTGTTTTTACTCTTAAAATCACTCCACAACCAATCTTATAAAATCTAAAACAAGCTAACAGCTAACAGCTGCTTGTAAACACTGGCATTAGCTCTTAGCACTGCAGAGAGCTAACACCGGCGTTAGCTTGTGGCGCTGCTGATTACTGGATTTTGCGTAACAGTGCGATTGATCGTGATTAATGGCAAGAAGTCATGCGAATAATCGCGATTAAAATTTGTAATCATTGCCAATACATTCGTCTTTTGTAAACCAAAGAAATTTAAAGCACGTGTTTTAAGGATCAGACAACACAACACGTGTTTGTCTTTTCCGTCACAGATGAAGCTGAGTAGGAAATTGTTTTTGATCATTTTGCGAAGTTGTCCCAACTTGAGAGGGATGATAACATACAGTACGATCAAAGACTGGTTTATTTTATACGATTATATTTAATACTAGTGATAAAGAATGTACCTGATCTAGGGATGTCCGATAATATCGGCCGAACTAGCGATAAAGAATGTACTTGATCTAGGGATGTCCGATAATATCAGCCGACCTGTATTATCGATCCGATATTAGCATAATTATGTATTGGTTTTTCCTCCAAATCTCTTGTAGGATCTTGAGGCATTTACCTCCATGACAAACAGCTACATATATCAGTATCCGTTGATATCGGAAATTAAGTGTTTGGACAATATCGGCATATTGGACATCGGCAAAAAGTTCATATCGGACATCCCTAACCTCATCCTATAATCGTACTTCCACGTCATATCGTACTCAGTACTACTTCCTTAACGTATCACACCATAACATATCATATACCTTTCATTTGTTCTGTACGTTTTGGTAAATCCAAAGTACCGTACTTTCTGTCCATAAATCCATTTTTCCAACCTGCACATCACAGACGCACACATGCACACAGATACAAACACCAGTTTTCAATGCATCAGGAAACACACACGGGAAAAAAAACAGCAAATGAAATTCAAATCAGTGTGTGGATGCCACGGAGGTGACAGCAGACTGACCTTGGTTGAACCACTCCTCTGGTGAGAGAGGTTTGAGCAGGAAAAACAAAAAGCGACAGAACAAAGATTAGATCACAGCAGACGAGGACAAAATACAGAGTTGTTCTGTGAGGTGAGACGCTGCAGTGGACTTGGCAGGTCCCGGCTAACGTTTGGCTCAGTGCAGCGTTTGTCAATTTACTGCAATTAGCCGTGGAGGCCCATCTCTGGTGTGAAGCAATAAAAGTGTAAATCACAATTAACTCTGACTTTATTGTTTCTCCATCAAGATTTCAACCGGCACAAACAGCTGCAGCCAATTAATTACTGTGTATCAGCTTAAAGTGAAAACATTTCTCCGTTTACTCTATAAACATAGGGATTTTTGGGTTTGTTTGGTTTTTTTTTTTTGAGGATTTTTGGGTTTGTTTGGGTTTTTTTTAATTTTTGCATTTTTACAGCCAAACTCAGCTGCTGCCTCTGCATTTAGTGGTTAAACATTCAGGGCCTCAATGAAGAGAAGAAGAGCAGTGACACTAAAGTTTGGAGGCAGGTACACAAAAGTTTAACATTGAAACAGATACTTTACAAGCTAACGCTTCAGAGGAGCAGATGTTGTTTCACCTCCGTGGAACACATTTTTGTGGGACAGTTAAAATGACAACTGTATCTAATACAAGTACATATTGGTTACTACAAGTTACTAACAATATTTTCCAACACATTGGTGAATTTTTGGTTTTTTCTTTGCTCTCTGTTTTATCATTTAGCTTATTTTACAAAAACTTAATTTCTGATAATTTCTCAATTGCTATAATTTCTGTCAAAAAATAAATTCTTTTAAAATTGAGTCATTGTTACCTAAGCTAGCTTAATAGTTTAGCCTTTTCTGGACTTAATTTGGAGTTCATTTTGGACAATTCCTTTAGCATGCATTAGTATGCAGTTTTGCTGTTTTGGCGGATTCTTTTAACCAACATTTTACTTCTTCTTGACCAGCTAACTAGCTAACAATCTCCTAAATCAGTGTTATTGACCAAATCTTTCAAATGGTCATAGTCCTTGCAGTGAACCAACCTTTGGGCCTTTTCCCAACACAACAGTCGGGTTCGTTCTTCTTCTTCTGTTGTCCCACGGACCTCATCAGGTGGCTGCAGTGTGGCTCCTGAAATCTCTCGGCTCCTGGAATCTCTTTGTGGACGTGGTAGGACAGGTTTCGCAGAATGCAGACGCAGTTCTCCACTGACTGAAGAGTGAACGAATTATACAGGACTGAGGATGTAGAGAATGTATAAACAATGTTTCGTGTGTGTGTTGAGATTAGCACCTTGTTATCAGTATCCTTGTGGACAATAGCCGACTGCAGAGCGTGAATCAGTGCATCCACCAGCCCCTGACAGTCCCTCAACCTCTGTCGAGCCTCTGCTCCGTCCGAGCTGACGTTCCTGCAAAAATCAGAACCGATCTTTCAGCAGAACCGTTCCTTGTTAGGAAACAACTGCCATCGTCTTGGTAGAAGACCAGTTCTACCTCAGACATCCAGAGGTGTTTTTAAAAACCGTGGTCCACTCTGCACTCTGCATTTTCGCCGGATCCACGGTGTCCCTCCTCCAGCCCGAGTGCGGGATGATGATTTCATCTGTCAGGGTTTGAAGCCCGTGGTTGATGACTGTCATCTTCAGTGGCTCGTGTGAGGAGAGGTTCCACAGAGTGCCTGTCAGAAGAGAGAAAATTAAAAACTAGGGATGTCCAATAATATCGGCCTACCGATATTAGCATAATTATGTCATATCTTTAAGAATCGTTATCTGTTTTTATTCCGATATTAAAGACCCGATAATGTCAAATGATGTGTGCCCTAAAAATAGTTTTGGGGAAAAACGGCTGCATGTGATAGTGAAAGCCACTAGATGGCACCATTGCAGCTCATTATAGTGATCTATTTTAAAAATCAGGGAATTTTATTTTCACAGATACATTTCTGCAGGTTTGTACAGATAAATAAATAAATATTACCAGGTGCTCAATAATATTTCATTTCTGATAGTCAGAGGGGGTGAAAAAACTTCTGTCCCCTAGGGGGGGCATGGCCAAAAATAATTGAGAAACACTGCTTTAACCCATCACCTTAGTTAGCAGGTGGCACTTCCTTAACCACCAGGCCACCACTGCCTCACTATATCAGTATCGGTTGAGATCGGAATCGTAAATTAAGTGTTTGGACGATATCGGATACTGGCAAAAAAGATAATATCGGACATCCCTATTAAAATGTTTTTAAAAAACAAACAAACAAATCAATCAATCAACTGATGGTCGACTTCACCTCAGATGTCTCCATACCTGTGACCAGTTCTTTGACTTCCATGCTGCTAGACTTCCTCAAGAGTCGGACCAAAGCTTGAATGCCATCGCAGTTCTTGATGGCCATCTTGTTATTGTGGTCTTTCCCAAAGGATATGTTGCGTAAAGCCCCACAGGCCTTGCGGTGGACCTCAGGTTTAGGATGGTCCAGTAGTTCCACCAGGATGGGGACTCCACTCAGCTGGCGAACCTCCTGTTTGATGCGATCGTTCTCGTAACAAAGATGCTGCAGGTAGGCAGCTGCGTTGGACTTAACCGGGTCCATGGGGTGACTCAGCATGGAGATGACCTCGTGCAGGTTGGGGTCCCTCCAGCGCGGGTCTCTGCGGATGCTGTCCAGGCTGACCATGCTGCTGCGTTTGTGAGGGAACTGCAGGGTCTGAGCTCGGCACATGGCCTGGAAGTAAGGGTTCAGGTTGTTCTCCAGCTGCGCCATAAAGGCGTCATCGTAGCCGCCTCTGAGGAGACAAGGAAACCAACCTTCAAACATCTCTGAAGTATTGATGACTGATGTTTTAGAAAAGTGGGGATCATCAAATTGATGACTGATGTTTTAGAAAAGTGGAGTCAATCTTTAAACAACATAACAAGACACATTTTTACCTCATCAGTTTTTTTAGGGCAGTGGTTCTCAAACTCTGAACCACCTGAGAAAACATAGAGCTCTCTGAGTACCACCATGATGACCAACATCAGAATAGGCCTTCCCTATTAGCTATAGCTAGCTAGTTTACAAATGTTTATAAAGATGTTTATTTTAAAAAATGTTGTATTAATTGTGCATGGTATGTTTTGAGATTCAACTGAAAATGTAAATGTGAAAATGATGATTTTTCTCTGCGTACCACCGGTGGTATGCGTACCACAGTTTAAGAACCACTGATTTAGGGTATTTAATTAATTTTGCTCTTAAATGTGGTCGATCCCTGGAAGCTGTGGTGAGTGAGGACGTGACACTGATCAACCCGTGATCCCTAACTTGGATGTTGACTTTTTAAAATACATAACAGCTGTGCTAAATGCTAAATATGGTATAGAATAGGCTGCGGGTTCTCTACATTTAAGTAGGTCAGAGGTCAACAACACAGCCTCTAGCAGTCTGATTTTAACTGCTAAAGGCTGTGTGGTTGACCTCTGACCTCTGTCCAAATATTCACATCAGTCCAAAACCTAAATGTGAATCAGGTGAAGCGACCAACCTTAAAATACTTTACTTCACTAAGTTCATCCAGAACGTCAAATCACCGTCTGTATTCCAGAAAGTGCGTCATTTTATGGTTTAGTTGCTGCTTTTTACTTAGTTTGTCCTTTTGGGTAGAAACAGGAGGCCACAAAATGGCAAGCTATAAAAAGCAAACCCTGATATAAATAAAGGCTTTTACTGGACTTTGAAAAGTCTGGCTTTTTTTTTTAACTTAAAAACAGAGATGCAAAGGATAAAGGTTTGAAGCATAATCTGTTGATGCTGTTGTTTAAGGTCATTCACTAATTTTATTTTTTTTTTCAATCGGACGATTGGTCCTTCCTGCCCTCATTGTTTGCACATGTATAATAATTTTATTTAAAACATTATTTATTTTAATGTGCTCAAAATGTTACTACAAGTGCAATGTAACATGAGCCCCATTGTGTATACAGAACTACACAGTTACGTTTAGCTCATACACTGCAGTACACTTCCTAAAATAATTTAATATTGACATCAGTCTAAGATTAAATGTTCTAATAAATAAAAGTAAAAAAATATTTATATATAAAAATTGCTGTTTTGATAAAAAAAAAAATTCTTAAATATTTTTTTATTTTATTTTCTGTCTGTGTCCACGTCAAGATGTGCTGTAAAAATAGTTTTTCGTGCCCCCTAGTGAACCTAGCGGTTGTGCACGAAGCCTTACGTCTTTATTTTTTTACGTCTTTATTTTCCTTCCACAAAAAGCAACAGTTGAAAATGGACAAACAGGTGAGTGAGCAACAGTCAACACAGCTGTGCCTCGTACAGTCACTCCCTGCCAATGGCTCTAATTACTGTGAATTTGTGAATGAGGACGTAAAAAGTAGTCTTTTGCTAAAATGTCAAACCGCCCAGTTTAATTTTTTAAAAGCGCTGGAACGAAAGGGCTGGATTCTAATCCACTGAGCTTTCCATCTTTGAGCTGAATCTTTGGTAAACAGCTCTGTCACTTCACTGGACCGAGGCAAAGGTTGTCGCAGACAACGGCAGGTAAAAACCTCCTTATTTATCGAGTGTGCGGCCGGGGCTGCCTGACTGATACCAGCTGCTGCTTAAGTGCTGTCCATCTGTCTTTCTATTGTTACAGCCTCAACCCTGAAAACAGGAAAAAAGTCAGACTGGGAAAGGTTAACATGCATCATGACGAGTGCTGTTATTACAGCGGAGAAAAATGGCAACGGTTGATTTTCTGCTGTGGTTCTGAGTTCCTAAATTTTACATATCCAGTATATCTTAGAATATATATTTATACATACATATACTGTGTATATATATACACACATACATATATATACATACATATACTGTATATATATATATACACATACAGTATATATATATATAGAGAGAGTATATATATTTACCTATGTAAATGTATATATGACCTGGTTGTGTTGGTATATAGACATTTGAATATATATGTATATATAAGGGTTATCTTAATACTTTATAGAGAGTATATTTTTTGTTTATTTTTTGCTATTAATACGGAAATAGTGAGTACATATATATGTACATATACATATATACATATATGCATACATATACAGTATATACATACACATATATAAATGTACTTACATACACATACATATGCATATACATATATACACATATTATATAGAGTATAAGTATATATTTTTGTATATATTATAGTTAGCTTAGAGTATATTTTTGTTTATGTTTTGCTATTAATGCGAAAATGGAAGATAATACATATAAATATATACACATATATAATATTATTATGTATGTGTATTATATATGTGTATATATTATTATATTATATTATTATTTTGTTTTGTATTTTTGCTATTCAAATAAAAATGGCATTAAAGAAGGTCTGTTAACAGTAAGGTCATCATTGGGGTCATATGGATATTTCGGTGACAGAATCAGGTCAAAGACTGGCCCTGGATTATTAGACTCAATCCTAAACCTACTACAGTGAAGGAGAGCAGCAGACCCATCCTCCTGCAGGGAGACGTTGTCTTCCCTTTTCTACCTTACACTTTCTCATATGCAAAAATTAAATCAGGTGTTGGTTTAGGTCCAAAAACAAAACACTACAGGTCTATTTTTTTCTTTGGGCAAATAGAGATGTATGTATTTCCTGATGTTAAATCGCAGCACAATAAAAACCACATGATCTACTGAACACCATGAACAGTCTCCTCTGAGGCATCGATAAATGAAGCCTGGCGTAATATCACCTGGTTCTGGAGGGCTCTCTGAGGAGCTCCATGGTGGTGAACGGCCTGAACTGGTGGATCCCTGCCAGCGTTGGGTAGCTGGCAGTGGAGTGGTCAGTCTTCACGTCCAGGGGAGTTTCTCTCCTGTCGCTGGTTCCATCCTCCTCACTCTGACTGCCGTGTCCTGCAGGGGCGTAGCTGTCTCTGAGGAAAGGTAAGGTGTAGTGAGCCCCAGGCTGGAAGTTTTTTCCAGGCCAGTAGTTTTGGAGGGTGGCTCGGGACAAGGTTCCATATCCAGCGCATAGTTCACCTCTGTAAGTGTCAGGCAGGGCGTACCCTCTGCTCTGGCTGATGTCAGGATTCACTGGCTGAGGTTCCCCAGGCTGCAGTGCCACCTGAGGCTGTGGTGGCGCTGTAGTGCTGCTGCTGCTGCTGGTGGTGGTGGTGGTAGTTGGTGAGACAGACTCATTGGACTCTGGGTTTGTTTCTGGAACAGGCTGATCAACGGGAGTTTTGTCTTTAACCACTGGAGTCGACGTGAGTTCCGGTGCATCGGAGGTCTCCAAAGTTTGAAGTGGTGTCTCTGGGGATTCTGGAGTCTCAACCAGGGTCTGTTCACCTTCTTGTTCTACAGTTTTTGACTCCTGTATGGAAGAATCACCAACAGTTATCGTCAGAATTCCATCTGGTGGAGCAGTGGTCTTTGTGTTTTTCAGGTGAAGGACAGAGAAACAAGGATTTAAGTCCTCCATAAATCGATTTACTGCGATGTGGTGGGTGTTTGATAGATGGATGGATGGATGGATAGATGGATGGATGATGGCTAGATGGATGGATGATGGATAGATGGATGGATGATGGATGGATAGATAAAGAGAAGGATAGATGGATGGGTGGATGGATGATAGATGGATGGATGAATGGATGAGAAAGGCTGCTTTTCAGCCACAGGATAATGAAGTCTCCTGTTGAAAATTGGTTTAGATTGGACTCTGATGACAGGGGAAAAAAAACACAAAATTGAGATTGAATTGCTGTTCAGAAGCAAAGTAAATTGCAGAAATTTAATTGCTTGTTTGGGTCTGTTGATTTGGATTTAACGCATTCATTACTGAGTGTGAGAACACATCATTGTGTCAAAGTCAAAGAATATGGATTTAATAAAAAGTCAAACTCAAATCCCACTTCACATTTCAGGGTTTCTTTTTGAGCCAAGGGGCGAATTTTTTTCGTGGAACCCAGAGCAACAGCACAAACCGCTGTTGCTCCCACACTCGGTGACACTTTATATTGAGCAATAAACACGAATCAATCGCATCAATTTCCCCTCACTGTGGCTCAACACAGCAATAATCGGCATAATAATTAAAAACAGACAAAAACTTCACTCTGTTTCTTTGTTAGTTTCTCTATGGTTTACTCCAGCGATCACCAACTTTATTTTTGTACCGAGGAACCACCGTTACTGTGGACCAGTAATACCTCGTCATCATTGTATGATCATTACATTTTCCAAATCAAACCTCCTTCAGACTTTCTTCTGTCAGTATCAGAGTCTGAATGACCTTTGACCTGTTGTTCTGAAACATTGACAGATTATCTTTGAATGAAAACAGTAAAGAGATATGACTGGATTCTTTTTGCAATGAAGTACATTAGTAAGCGGCCCGGCAACAAACCTACGGACCAACCTACGGACCAGCACCGGGCCCCAGACCGGAGGTTGGGGACCCCTTATGTACAACACAAAAGAAAAGCACAGCTGCCCATTTAGCATAGTGCAAAATGAACCTGAGCTTTATAATATAAACCAGTGGAAGTTGGTAAGTCAGTAACACTGACAATCATCAGAGTTTTCCCTCTCTCTCTCTCTGTGTCTCTGACTCTCTCTCTCACACATATATGGTTGCAGTTTGTTGTCAGGCGCCCTGTTAGTTTACCATACATGCCAGAATGGCATACACTGCCACCAGAAAAAAAAAAGAAATCTAACAGAACCTGCCAATTTTCTGCCAGCCATTTTGCTCTTATTTCCATGGCTACAATGGAAAAAGGAAAAAGGAAAAGCATTATTTTGTGTATGAAGTAAATTAGTCAAATGAAAGTACAATTTCGCACGTGTCCCACTGCGGCCCGCGGTACCAAATGACCTCAGACCGACACTGGAAATTGCTTGGTCTAACTGACAACTGTTCTAATGGTCTGTGATTATGAGTGTGCCGGCTTCAACAGAGTCAGCAGGTGGGGACAGAACACGGGTTCGCTCACCTCGGTGTCCGTCTGCTGCGGCGTGTCCGTCTCTGTGGAGCTCTCGTTGGTGGAGGTCATCACCGAGGCGATGGAGGTGGGCGTGTCCAGTTCATCAGTCGTAGAGGGGTGATCCTGTGTGGGCTCTTTGCTCTCCTGCTGCAAATTTAGTGGAGGAGGGCCCTCTGAACTCTGCTCCTAATACACACACACACACACACAGAGACACACACACACACACACACAGACAAACACCACGTGTTCATAGCACTCCATCTCTGAGACGTGATGGTGACAGATTCAGCACAGAAAGAGTTCCCAAATCGTTTCCACTGAAACGTCGGATCGTTTGTATTGTTTTCAGTAACAAACTCCATTGTTTCTGTCAAATTAAAAACAAAATCTGCCTCTTTGTGCAACAACATTGGAGTTGACTGACTATTCACTGAAATTGAAACGTGAGCAAAAAATGATACGAGTGGCTGCAGATCATCTGTACGTTTGTTCTGGTGTTCTGAGTTTTTACAGCCAATCACGCGTGTGCGTTCAGCCCAGCGTGGAGCTGGTGGTAAACGGCTGAGGTATGATGGACAAAAGGTGCAGTATGTAAAATGTAGGGACGTGTATTGGCAAGAATCTGGTGAAACATTAGGTATCACGATACTATAGGCACAATGATATATATATATATATTTGTTTTACAATGTAACTGTAGTCAGAGTGTGATCCTAGTCTCAGACTCTGTTCCACCTGAACATCAGTTACTAACACTGGAACAGTGGGATCTACAATTGGAATCACTGGAGAAGAAAGAAAAGATGGGATCTAGATTTGGAATCACGAGAGAAGAAAGAAAATGAACCAACACCAGGAATATTGGACTGGGAATTGGTGATAAAAAAATATTGATACAGTGCTGTAAAATATTGATATCGTGATCATTTCAGTGTATCAATATTTTCATAAGCCTCGCAATATTACGTGTGTATTGTTATTTTCTCACACCCCCAGTGAAATAGGGCTAGGTTGCAGTAGGTTCAATTTTAAGTAGCAGAAATAGAAGATAAAACATATTTGATGATATTTTTTTTTTGTTAATGAACAGTCAGTTTTCTTTAACTGTTTCACTGAAGACTGTCATATCACATCACCATGTTTTTACATTAGTCCATCAAATATTTGCTTGAAACACTGTATAAAAATCAGGCACTGCTGAAATGAACTGCATTAATTAATATATGAATATAAATGTGATTAAAAATGGACTGTCATGGACTGAGTCATGTCGTTGTTGAAGGACAACAGATTCACCAGAGTGTTTTAAACATGTCTCAATATGTCTCATGATTAATCATGATTAATCCACCATTTACACTTGAACATACATTTAAATCTGATCATATTTTTTAATGGATTAATGACAGCCCTAATTAAAAATCATAATTAAAGGCTACTCTAACATTTCCTACCTTTAATATCAGATGTCGGTCCACATGGACACTTGAAAATACCTGCTGGATTAGAACCAGCAACTTGCCCGAGAGATGTCTTTTAGAGAAGTCTTTCACAAAGTAATGTTGAATAATAAATATAAATATTATATATTAAATCAATAAGTGATGTTATTAAAAAAGAAGATTCATCTTAATTTGAGGTTTAAGGTTTGTTCTTTCTTTTTTTTTTTCTGATCAAAAAAATATCTCTTATCATCGTACATTCTTGAGAAACCTCGACTCTGAAAGAGTCCGTCAGTTTGATGCCGTTCTGCCTTGAAAACTATGGGTTTTTTTTTCAATGTTCTTCTTCTTGTGATTCCAATGAGAGGCACATTCCCATTTCGGAACAATAATGGTTCAGTTCAATCTACGCACAACCTGAAGGCAGAATAACAGCACTTCAGTCCAGCCTGGGAGCCACTTGTCGGCCTTTGAAAAGGTTCTGTGAGGTACACGACTTAAATGTATATTATTTATGGTCCTTCTGGACCAGGTGTAAATTCTTCTACAGTCACTGCTGTTTGGGCTGGTGATGGTTTTCCAAACTTTCTTTCTGGGGAGCCATATTTAAGTCACAAACCTTCACGACTCAAGTCAATAGACATTATTCGTAAACTCCTGGGAAACATGATGCGAGACGACCCCCAACTAAAATCTATTGCGACCCACCTGAGGGTCGCGATCCAGTCTTTGGGAAACAATGCTTTAAAGGACTGATGACTGAAAAGTTGTTTTTCTTTTCTTTGTTATCAGACATAAAATCCACTAAATAACTCAAAACCACTGCGGAAATTATATTTTATTTTATCTTATTACCATTTGAGCAAAGGCTCTCATGTGTATTTTCAAATATTTAATCTGTCCTCTTTGTAATAAATGTCAAAAAAGTTTGCCATATTTTAACAGTATTCTGCAGTTTATTGGTGACTGAACAGTAAAAAAAATGGATGATAAAGCGTTTCAAAATGTGCTCCAAATGAGTTTTATCATCTTCTACTTAAAGATTTCAGGGAGCAGGGAGTGTTATTGTTCACAACAAGATTATGCAGAGAGCACAAAAATAAATAAAAATAAATACATGAAAAGGAAAAAAAAAACGAAGAAACAAAAATCCCAGGCCGCACAAAACCATTTTGTTTCAAAATAGCTGTCAAGCGTCGTCTTCAGCACAAAAATAAACTCTATTCTATGGTAATAATTTAGTAGCCAGTAACTGCAAAGCAATGCATTTCAGAAGTAGGTGCCTGTGCACCTGGCCTCCCTCCAGAAATACATCCATACATATCTGTACGTGTACTACAGCAACCACTACTGAGTACTGCAGCGTACTGTACTGAGTATCTGGAGCTGCTGAAGAACAGCTTCTTCTTTATTGTGTGGATCTCGTCTTAACTCAACTGCAGCACTGTTGTAATGGAAATGGAATGTGTGTGTGAATAGTCAGAGCTTATTTACCACCAGTGACTCTTAAATCAGCCATCCAGCTGTTTCTCCAGTGCAACATATGGACACCTCCGTAATTTCCACCTGTTAATTTGCTAAAATTCCAAAGACAGATTCCATTATTCAGCATGTTAGTCCGCGGGAGAACCGACGCCGTCATTCCACTGAATACACAGATATTTTGGTCACGTGATCACCTGTCACGTGATCACCCCGACACACTCAGGTGGTTGAGGCAGGTGAATTTTTTTCCGACACACGCAGGTGGTTGAGGCAGGTGAATTTTTTTTCCGTCAAATCCGGAGTAAACAGCGAGGCAGACGAGCCATCAAACCATTAGACCATAATTAAAAGGTTCTATTATGGCGTAGATCAATAACACTATATAATTTATGACTCGTTTTATTACTCGGATTGCTTATCCACTCTCTGAATCAATTTTCATTCTAAGTATGACATAGAGGCCTAGTATATATAATCTCACAGGATTTTTTATTTTTAAGCACTCGGCGGCGTTGGACTTCTCGCCGCTTTGCCGGGAAGTCGGTAAGTGTTGGATATAAAAGAGCAGAATTCTCACTGTCAGAATCTCACTCTGATTTTTTTTCTCTCCCCGCTCTTACTACAGCGTGCTGCATTAAATCACACTGCAGTCGAGCACCAGGCTGGATGTGCGGGGCTTCGTCGGTGTGAGAAATGATCATGCAGAAATCTCATCTTCAAATGTACAGCGTGGTGTTGTACAGATGTGAAGTGAAGCAGCTGGATGTTGTCATTTATGACTGGATCCGGCCTCTGCTCCCTGTCTGACTCCAGACCGCCATCTGTCTGACACTACTGCTTATTACTGTGGACCCAAGCCTGGATATCCATCTTGTTGGTGGTAACATAGGATCATTGTTGACCTTTAGATTTAATGCAGCAAAAATCTCCTAAAGAATTAAGGGCTGGGTCTGAATGGAACGGAGGCAGAATCATCTAGACACAGATGATTCTGATTGGTCGTCACACACTGTGACACAGTTGACTCCTAAATGAGGTACTTTTCATGCCATGAGTTTTTTTCAGACCGGCTGTAAACCTGTTCTGTCTGTGTTGTATTTACTGCAGCTAGCGTCGGCCAAGACGCTAACGTAATAGATTTTAAATCTCAGTGTTTTGAGGGGTTTTTTTTGTTTGTTTTTTATTTTTTTATTTTGCTGTTTTAGTAAAAACAATGTAGATCTAAATTAAAAAGATGTTGATGTTGTGGAGGTACATCATTAACAGTGATTATGGGGCTGTGTGTATATATATATACATATATTTATATATATATTCATGTATTTATATTTATTCATTAAGATGAGAAAATAAGACAACTCTGGTGCATTCTCTTTTTTGTCAAAAAATTACTTTTTTGTCTTGCAAAATTACTATCCCAATTTCCACAAATTGTAAAAAATCGTAGTGGAAATAAAAGAGGATGTGACTCATTAATCAACACACGACTGTCTCATTATTTTGGTAGATAACGACTGACATTAGGTTATATTAAGTTATGAAATGTGTCTGCGTGTGTTTTCATCTAATCAACCAATACAATCAACTTCAAATACAGTTTGTTCCGGATGCAAAAATGTTGGTGTCAGTCGGCGAGGAAGAGGAAGAGGAGGAGGAAAAGGAGGAAGAGAAGGGGATCACTGAGGAAAAAGTTGGCCACAGGAAGCCACGTGACGGCAGCTGATTGGCTGTTGTTCAGTGGTACCAACTGGATGTGTGGTCAAAAAGACGGACAGGCTACAAGTAGAGGAAAATTACAAGCTGGAGTGGAGTCTACCTGCTGCCCAAGTCTGAAGACCAGCCCTCCTCCCAATCCCCCACCACCACCACTTATCCAACGCTTATGTGAAAAAAAAAAAAAAAAGAGCCACTGCACGGTCACCAATAATAGTGTTCATAGAGACAAATGGGTCAAGAAGAAGAAGCCTCTGACTCTGCCTAAAATATACAACTTGTGGTTCGGTTCTAGGGGAACACAGGACACAGAATGACATGATTACCGTCGGCTCTCCGAATCCAGGCCAGCCCAGAGCCGGGGTATTATTTTGGGAGACACAGGAGTCTGATAAGTGATGCTGAGTGAGGTCAGATGTTGGTGACCACCTCAAGGGCACGACTGGCACAAGCCACCAGTCAACGTTGTCGTTAATCCATTCCACAAAGACGGATGGTGCGTGGCGTTGTCAGTGAGCGAGGATGAACCTTTTGCGGTGATCA